TTTAGATAGACTTATGGAGATAATAATATGCACAAAAACAAGACAGAGCAAAACCAAGCAACAAAAGAAAACAAAACAACAACAAGAAGCCAATGACAAAAAACCCACAACACAACAACAAAAAAGAAAAGTTTGTAGTTAATTCAAGGACTGTTTGTTGGCCTCTCTTTTCCATTCCAGTCTGATGGGGTGCCAAGCCCTGGCCCCAAAGTCTATTTTTAATATTCCCTGGGGACTTCATTGCTCTGTTCCACACCCTTAGTGTTTTGCCTCGGTGTGGTGGGATCAGATTGGGCGCAATTCCCACACTGTGTCTCCAGTATTGTCCCTTATAGGGCTATGGGTCAGTAAGGGATGTTGTGTCTCATAGTGGGGCCAGTCTTCTTTGTGGATTGGCTGCTCTGAGCGGGAATATCATCCTCAAGGCTTGGAGGGCCCGGATGTCCTCCACTCTCTCTTCCTCTCCCATCATTTGCTCCTGTGTGCTCTGGTCAGACGTGTCCCTCTCCCTGAGCTGCAGCTTCAGTGCTGTCACCTGAAGTAACTTCTTCTGGGGGGAGGGGCAGGAGTCCACGTAGTTGGGATTAGGGCCGGCCCTTCAGACCTCTCCACTCGATCCCTAGTAATATGCATTTTTGCTATTAGCGATACCCCTCAAAATTAAAGTGGACATTCTCAATCCATGTAGTAAATCAGTGATACTCTATCTTCTTTCTAGATAATACAAGTATCACAGAGCCTTCCAGTGGTACTCCTACACACACACACACACACACACACACACACACACACACCTGTATGTCTATTTAAAACCATTATTATTATTTTGTCTATACATAGTAATGTTGTTTTTGGGTGGTGGGGAAGAACAGGCATCTCCAACCCGTCTTCTGAGGTGATATTTCTTTTGCCTTTAGTACTTTAGTATCATTTAGTACTTCTTCAGCATGCCTCTGCTAGTCACATAACTTCTCAGAATGCCTTTAACTTTGTATCTTGAAGAATGTTTTCATGGGTCTAGAGTTCTAGGTTGGCAGTTAATTTCTTTCTCATCCTGAAGATCTTGTTCTACCGTCTTTTGAGAAGTCAGCTGTTTCATTCTAACACTTGCTCCTTGGAACTTATCTTCCCCACTTAGATCACACCCTAGTTGCTTTTAAGGTCCTCTCTGCCTTCAGTTTTGTGATATGTTTGACTATGAGTTTCTGCTTAATTATTCTGCTCTGCATTCTTTGGACAGCTTAAATTTGTGGATTAATGTCTGTCATAAATTCTAGAAAATCATAGTCAGTACTTGTTTAGATTTTGCTGCTGCTCCATCCTAAGAGTCCGTTCCGTGACTCGTTGACGTGACGCACCTGCGCTGAGCCTTTCTCTCCCTCACCCTCCTCTGAGCACCGCCCTTGACCACTTCTGGCTGCGTTCTGCATCGTTTCTCCTCTCTTCCAGTTTATTGATTTTTCTCTTTAGCTATGTGTAAGCTACTTTAAAATCTGCCCACAGAGTTACAAATTTTGGTTACAGGGTATAAGTAACTGTAGGTCTATTTCTGTTCATGTTGGCTTTTCTCTGTATGCACTGATTCTATTGGAATGGGTCCTGTATGATGTGTTTGAGATCTAAGATAATGTTATCTTTTAGAACGGATTTTTGTTTGCTTTTGTCAGGTGCTTGAGTACACTAACAATATTGAATTATCTGAACCCAGAATTAGGTCTTAGGATTTTCTGGGCCACCAAATGACCTAAATCTAGGGTGTACTTCACAAGAGGACTGATTTACTTTAGTTCACTTCATGGTTAGGGTGCAGTCCATTATAGTTCTAACCCTTAAACAGGAGCTTATCCAGGTGATAAAAACTGAACTCTAGCTTGTAACCACCTGGTCCTTCCTGACTGGCAAAGTGCCACTCTGTGCCATATGGGGAGCAGACACCCCGGAGCGACCACGGCTCCCACGCCTGCCTCGTTTCTGGGTCTTGGCCTGATGAGTCCTTACTCTCGTTTATTCCTTCGTGTCTCTAAGAGAAATAATTTTGCTGTTTGTTTTGTTGTAGCTTTTGCCGTTGTCTTTAGCAAGAAGGTTGGTCTGAGAGAGAGTTCCCTAGTCTGCTGTTAGCAAAAGTAGGGTCAAGTCACTTGGATTCCGTTTCACATCTGTGTAACGAAAGTATTGCACCGATCGAGGCTTCTCAAACTTGTCAATGCTGTGACCCAAGAAATGTGTTCTTTACCACTGCTCTCATTGGTGATGAGATGACACTGGTGAGAAATACCTTTGTTTTTATTTTGAAGAGGTGAGATTTCTTTGAGGAAGCCTTACTTTTGGATTAATATCTGCAACAGCAGAAATGTTCTCCATACTAATGACCTTCATTGTGAATTTTGGACTGGATTTTTATTCAGAAGTGTGTGCACACTGCAGAATCATATTGTCACTAAAAGAAATTGCCCATCTTCCAAGGTTAGCCCGAATCAAAAGCCCTTCCTTAGCAATCAGCTCATCTCCTCCTCCAAATCCAGAGTGACCGCAAATCCTAGCAGTAACAGAGGAAGACACAAAGTCTCCTTTTCCTCCCTGAGCAAAGTCTGAAGTTCTAAAAAAAGCTTGCTAACAGATGGTGGAAGAACCTAGGAGGAGGCAGGATTAAGTGTTAGAATGGTTTCAGATAATGGAATAGACTCTGGAATAGATGATGAGGGAGCTTTTAGTATTTATTTCTAAAGAGCTGACCCAAATGAGAAATTGCTCAGGAGCAGAAATTGTCTTAATAGCTGTACTCTGTTTATATCAATCTAATCAGACATGAGATTTTCCTGGGCAAGTCCAAGTTTTAAATATTCTGCCCTTTTTTCTTTTTAAATCACCCTCCCCTTCTCCCAGTGTATGTGCACACACAGACACATGCACACCGATATAATTACACTTCTGTGATAGCAGGCCCTGATTTCTGGTTTAACGTGTCAGGATTCCAATGTCATTTCTCAGAAAAGGCAAAGATAGTGCCCCAAACACTTCTAGTGGCTGCTCAGTAAGCATTTTAACAATGAAGACACTTCTAAGTGGGTGTGTTATATAACTATGAAGACCTTTCCCATGGTTCCAAGAATAAAAGTAATAAACGTTTTTGATTTGTTTTTTAAACTCTCTCCTAGCCTAGCAAACATTGCTTTATTTTCTTGGCCATTGACAATAAGTGCTTCACATCACGATAGACTTGAAGACTTCATGTCTAGTGTTGTATTGGGAATTTTTTTCTTTCAATTCAACTTTAAAAATGCGTGATATTATCTTGCGTGATAATATTATCATAAACCCAGTGATGAGGAATGACCCCCTGCACGTAGGGAAGGAAGGTGGATGGAGTAAAGGGAACTTCGTTACTTACAGCCAGCCATCCCTCTGTGAGGGGTGTCACAAAGTTCAGGGGTGGGTGGGCACCTGTTATCTTTCCATCCAGCTTTTCCACAAGGGTGGGATTCTGGAATAGTGAATTTTAAAATAAGTTTGAAATATTTTGAAAATATGTTTTGTGAAATTCTTAAACCGCCCAGAAGAGGGCAACCTAACACCATGAATCCAGGCCAATCTTGTGGAAAAGCTCTAATGCTGCAGTGGTAAGTGTGGCAACTGAGCCCTGCTGCTAGACACGATTTACTAGTTAATCGTCCAACAACGACTTGCTAGGGTTACTATACCACAGGCATCGGGTGGACTGTCGGCAGGAGCTGGCTTAGGAAGGAACTGCCAGCTCGGAGATGGGGGCAAGGAAGCAGATCTTAAAAGTAAGATCATTCCAGAAAGCAAAAAGTGCTCCAAAGGAAATGACCCAGGTTATTTATTTTTGGTGTAAGAGACACGGTGAGTTTCACGTAAGCACCAGACTGCTAACCACTTCACAGAAGAAAGACGAGGCTGTATGCTCCCACACAGATTAACAAAGCCCAGAATCCCCACTTAGAGGCGCTGCGTCAGAAACATCGTGATGGCAGTGGCTTGGGGTTTTTGTGTTTTGTTTTCTTGTTTGTTTTCGGTTTAATGTTTAAAGAGTATCTTACAGGAATTTCAGGGACTCGTTCAACTTCCATGACTTCAGAAAGTCTGGATTTCAAGAGAATTTGACATTGTGTTCTGCATTTTTTAACCTCTGGTCAGGATTCTTTTAGAGTATCTTTGATCAAAGAGTTCAGTAATGTCAGCTAGGCAAGGCAGGCTGATTCCAAGTGAGCCACTCCGACCATAGACACCTGTGCTGGTACAAATGTGGGTCAGCATCCTGTGCACTTAACCCTTTCAGAGGGTCTGCAGGGACAGCTGGAGGTCGGGGCCTGGCCTTGATCGTGGTTCCTCAGGGCCTACCCTGTGTTGCAGCCATCCGTCTCAGGGGCACTCCAGGCTAGGCTGTTAACATCTGCTCCGTGGAGTCAGGAACTTCTCTTGCCAGGAGGCTTTCATCAGCTTGACCTTGTGGTGAACAGCTCCATTTTTGGCACGACTCCCAGACGCTTATGAAGAGCTTTCCAATTACGATGGTGTTCTTCTGGATAGCTCTCTTAAGGTGGGGGCTGCTGCTGGGGTGCCTGGTGTGTGTCAGGACCCCTGACTTCCTTCACTGGCAGCGTCTTGGAATAACTCAAAGAGAAATACAGGGGTGGGGATTAAATTTGAATCCGTAGGCTTGAGAGCAAGCTCTCTCTCCACTGCCACCACTTCCCCAGCACCTCTGAGGATACCGCGAGGCCACACGGACATGCTGGCCAAGCGAAAGCAGGCCAGACCCACGCTCCACAAACTGCCATCTGGTGTGGCCTGGGGAGGGGTAAATCCTTCTGCATGTCCCCAGAGATCCACGGTAAGGTTTACTGGTCAATTAAAGTATGACTCCTCTTCATCATGGTGAAGTGTATTTGTCAGAGCTAGAACATCCTCTGGTTACTGACAACAACCTGCCCCGTTAGCCACAGGCACCGGCCTCCTCAGCATGTCTGTCCTTCTTCCAGGTCCCGTGGGAATGGCTGCTGCTGCTGCTGTGGCAACAGGAAAGAAAAGGAAACGGCCACACGTGTTCGAATCTAACCCGTCCATCCGGAAGAGGCAGCAAACACGCTTGCTCCGGTGAGGGCGCCGTTCCACGTCCCCGCTAGCCTCGTGCGCTTCATCGGGTGCTGGGTCGGATTCCTCGATGGCGAGATTCAGCTTTAACGTTGGAGTAGTTAGGTGCCGTCCAGTCAGTTCCAGCTCATAGTGACCTAGGTCCACAGGAAAAAACACTGCCTGAGCCTGTGCCGTTCTCACAAGTGCTGCTGTGAGTCTGACAAGGGTAGACGGATGGAAACCTAGAAATAGGGTTTCACTGATGTAGCAGATACCACAGTAGTTCACCCAGAGAAAGCGTGTGTGCCCGCTCTGTGTTGGCACCGAGAAATACAACAGTGGTCAAAACAAAGCCCCCTGAAGATCTTACGTTCTAGGGAAGGGAGACAGAAAGTAAGCAAATAGGTAGGGTGCCAGGTGGTACTAAGTACAAAGGGAAAAAAATATAGTGAAATACATGAGTAACAATGAGCCTGGAGCAAAAGAAAGTGTTCTCAAATTGACTGGTAAAGATTGTAGGACGCTTCCTGATGCGGTTAAACGATTGTATGCTTTGAGTGAAGTGCCAACAAGCTGTTAATAAAAATATAGCTGTGCATCTATGGTCAAATGAGGGAAATAGGAAGGTGAGAATATACTGTTAATAAAAATATAGCTGTAGATCTATAGTCAAATAAGGAAATAGGAAGGT